TGCCTTTAATTCTCTATCCTTTCTAATAGTGATTCCTACTCCTAGGTTCTGAACACAATGAGTACCCAGTACCAGTTAATGAGGTGAATAGGTGAATGGATGGGTGAATGGGAGAGTGGATGGATGGGTGGGTGGATGGATGGATGGGTGGTTGGATGGATGGGTGGATGATGGATGAGTGGGTGGTTGGATGGATAATGGATGGGTGGATGAGTGGATGGATGGGTGGACGGCGCAGGTGGATGGATAGGTGGGTGGATGTGTGGGTGGGTGGGTGGATGGATGGATGGATGGATGGATGGATGGATGGATGGATGGGTGGGTGGGTGGATGGATGGATGGATGGATGGATGGATGGGTAGATGGGTGGGTGGATGGGTGGGTGGGTGGATGGATGGATGGATGGATGGTTGGATTATGGATGGGTGGGTGGATGGATGGATGGATGGGTGGGTGGATGGATGGGTGGGTGGGTGGGTGGATGGATGGATGGATGGGTAGATGGGTGGGTGGATGGAGCCTGAGGCCTGACTTTAATAACTGAGGTTAACATTTCTTTAAAATGAGGCTTAATACTTTGGCAAAGAACCATCTCAGAAAGTATAATCTTAAATTGAATGTTGAACAAACTGGGAGGCAGTAGTCAACTGGCACAACTAAGCATCCTGATGGACAGGTGGCATGTTCTCTGCTCTTTGCTTACGGATTATGCTGAACTATAGCCAGAACTCACCATGGAAATCCGAGCCTGTGTATTTATGGTAGACTGTAAGGGATGAAAAATGATGGAGGGTAAATGATTCCTGACCATCACCTCATCATCATGATAGTAGTTACAGTCGTTGAGCACTTACGGTATGCCTGCCACTGAATAAGTGATTCACATGCTTGTCTCACTTGTTCATGGCTGATGCCAGGCAGTGCCTCTGCTAACGGGTCCACACAGAGAGCAGACATGGCCTGGCACCGTCCTCCTGTCTGCCTCAGTGGGTGAGGTCTCTGCTCACCATTTCCTCCCTTTTGGACCAGTCGCTGTGCCCCTGGTCCCACAACACCATGTTCCCTGTGTCCCTCTGTTCTTGTGTCGCACGGATGGTCAGGTCTGCATGTGGTGAGTGGGTGGGGTGTTTTGTGACACGATTTCTGTTGGGATTGTTTCTCTTTGTCACTGTGATGAAAGAGAAGGCTTGCTGGAGTGGACTTGGCAAGCACGGGTCACTGTGGACTTTCTTCTTTCTGAAAGGGACTTTTCAGAGCAGATGCTCTGCATCGGTATTGGTGTGAGGGCAGGGGGGCCCTGCCCTGTCAAGAGGAGGAAGGCTTGGCGTGCCTCTGGGGGGTTTCCTGCACATCTTCTTTCCCAGGGTGCAGCGGGCACTCCAAACCGGAAGTCCCCAGTGCCGTCTGTTTCCTGAGAGGAAGGAGAGCTTTGTGGTCAATGTGGGGTCCATGGGAGTGGCTGGTGACACAAGACCTTGCTGAGATAAGCATCAGAAGAGAAAGGTGTTTGGTGGGAATCAAAAACGAAAAGTTGTACTCAGCTTGCTGCTCACTGACTCAGTTACGGTTCTGGGACAGTTCCTTCTGACTCTGAAAGCTGCAGTGAACAGTACATTTCTTCAAAACAGCCCAATGGCTGTGACAGGTATGCACCTGCAATCCCGGAGTGCATCTTTATCTTTCCCGTGAAACAGCCTGTACCTTCTGTCATCCCAGCATCAGCTGCTGTTTGTGTGGGATTGCTCAAGTCTTCAGCCTCCTGTCACTTCTGCATCGGGCAAGCTTTTCTGTATTTTTAGGTATGTTTTGTTTATAAGGAAGTGAAATTAGTGCTGGAAGTTGTTCTTGAAGTTAAGCGTTCCGTCGCTGAACATTTGGGACTGTGAGAGGCTCTGGGGATGGAGGGGAGACAGCCACAGAACAGGCTTCGGTCTGCATTCCCTTTGGCAGCAAGTGGTTTCAGATGCGGGCTTTGTTATTAGTCAGGTTTGGCCAGACTGCTGAAGACAGTTCCCAAGAGGAGACCACGCTCAGGGCCCCCCCAGGGAAGCACCAGGTTGGTGGTGAGGCGGACGGAGGGGACCGTTCAGGAAGAAGCAGGTGAGGTGGGCCCAGCGGGCGAGGGGCTAGTGAGCAGACATAATTTCAGCGGCTCTGGGGCAAGGCCCTGGGACGATTAGGGCTGGTGGTTGGTGGCCTGCTGGGTGGGGGCCCGGTAGAAGCCGTGACAAGCGGTGGGCTCTGGATTGGTTGGCTGGCACGTGAAAGGCAGTGTTTGCTGTGTCTAGGATGTGGGTACTCCTGGGAAGCTCAGTGTCCCCAGGGTCAGTGAGACCACGCGTCGGAGCATGAGGAACAGGTGGTTGATAGAGAAGCCAAGGCTGGGGTGGTGCAGGGACGTCACCGCCCTGTGTTGGTGCCGTAAGGCTTCCGTGTCGGCCTCACCGGGGCTTTGCCGCTGCTGAAGGAGCAGTTACGGTCCAGTCCTGACCACGAGGGTCGATGGCGTATGCCACACGCTCTGTGTCCCCCCCCACTTTCAAGGACCCCATCTGACGATCGTGCCAAGTGCACCTCCAGCTGTGTTTCCAGAACAAGTACCATGGAGACTCCAAGCGTTGTCGATCCAGAAGGGACCTCAGTCGTCAACAGGAAGTCTTGAGTAAAGATTGACAGAAAGTGTCTTCACGTAGCAAAATCAGAATTATGGCAGCGACTCTTCCCTGGCAAGGAAGAGACTGTGGGAGAACATGGGGCGTGGCACGCAATGTTCAGAAATGAAAGTTTCCTTAGGACAGTGGAGCAAGACTCCCCTGAAAGAGCGAGCTTCGGTGGACAGGTGAGCGTGACTGCGTTTTCTTCCACTCGAGGAATTCACAGTAGGCTTGACCTGCTTCTTTGAAAAGTCAGTAAGTCTGGATAGCTCCAAACTCTCCTGTCAGGCTTTTATTATGAACAAACCTCACTTTGACCAGGTGAGGCCATCCTGCTCTGTCAGCAAGACTCAGAGGTGGAGCCCGGTGGTGGGGGGTGGGGTGCTGTGCACAGTGTTCCGGGGGCTTCTGCACGTAGCTTTCCAGCCACGGCCATGTGGTACAGATGTTATTACCTCAGACAAGTGTTGAGTTTGGTGAAGCTGTTTCGGAGAGTCTGGGCCTTCCCCTGCTGGATCCTGGCTGACAGCAGGAGCGGCTTTGACCCACGCTTTCTGCATGTGCGTAGGGCAGGGCACCTGCCTGCCGGGCCTGCTGAATCCTGAGTGTTGAGAGCTTCTCATGCCTGTTGGTGAGCAAGAGCTCCAAAGATGGAAACATTAAAAAATCTGAAAAACCTAAATTTCTTAATTTGCAAGAAGCGGAAAATAATCCCCACCCCACTCAGTTCAGGGGCTTGCCTGAGCGAGGCTGTGGAGAGAGTGTGAACTCTCACTGGTCCAGGGTTCACAGGGGGCAGTCACGAGGGTACCCATCTTGCATAAACCTCCACTTAGGAACCAGACACGTCAGCCTTCGATACCCAAGATGAAGAAGTCGGGGCACCCTCCACATCAGAAACAAAACTCCATCAAACATTCCTGTTACTGAGAGATTTGTCATGAGATGCATGGACGCCGAGTGTACAAGTGAGTGTGGACGTGTGTGTACACGTAACTGACACGCCATTACACATCCCCATCACCCCAGGCAGGGTCCCAGCACTAAGTCTGCTTGGAGTGATCCGCACACACCTCACGTAAAATCCAGATAAACCTTACAGCAGCTTATGCCGGTGACCCTCCCGTGCCGTGTAGTTTACCTCGACATGCATTGAATGTGGTTACTTCTTCCCGTCGACCGGCCAGCTGCCCTTTAGCGGCACTAAGAGGAGAGAGACTTTTGTCCGGGTGCACCACATACTCACCCTCTGGGAGCTTTTCAGCACTTGCTACAGGCCCGTGTTTCCAGCTGGTGTCACCCTCCTGCTGTGTCTTGTTGTGCGGGTCCACTGGCCGCCGATCAGCTTGGCCCCTCTTATAATAGGATGTCTTTCCCTCACCTTCAGGCTTGAAGGATGTTTTCACTGGACGTAGACTTAAATGTTTTTTCTTTTAACACTTCACATATGTCGTTCATATGTGTGTTATCAAATCGATGATTACAAATCCTGTCAAACACCTCACTCTCAGAAGACGCGCGGTGAGTCCCGTCCCCTCTTCTGCTTGAGGTCAGCCCACTGCCTGTGTCCCGTCACGCCCCATGCATGTCTCAGCCTCTGGCTGTGGTTAGGGTCTGCTTTACCTTCACCTTCCTAAGAGATGCCACTGCGTGGTTCTCTTTGTGCTCATTCTTCTGGGGGTTTGGTGCCTTGACTTTTCAAAGCAAATGCAATTTTGGGGAATTGCGGGAGATTTTTTTTTTCCCTTTAGCTTTTGGTCCCATTCTCTCTTCCTTTTCCTTCTTGCTCTCCGCTTGGAGTCTGTTGTGCCTGGGGTGGTTCTGCAGGTTACCAAGTTTCCGCTCAGTGTTTCTCAAATCTTTTTTAAATTTTTTAATAAAGATTTCATTTATTTATTTGAGAGAGAGAGAGAGAAAGCGAAAGTGGGGGTAGGAGCAGAGGGAGAAGCAGACTCCCCGCGGAGCAGAGAGACCGACGCGGGGCTCGATGCCAGGACCCTGAGATCATGCCTGAGCCGAAGGCAGACGCTTCACCAACTGAGCCTCCCAGGGGAGGCTTACCTGCTCTTAAGATAATAATAGTTTCTGTTATCTATCTTGAAATTCACTAACCCATTGCTCTCCATTGCCCAGTCTGCTGCCAGGCCCATTCAGTGAGTTTTTAAATTACAAATGTTGTGCTCTTCATTTACCGAACTTCTGCTGCTCCTCGTTAAATCCCATTTCTCTCTGAGCTTCTGGGTGCCCACGGTGCCCCTGTTTGGGATCACTCGTTTACCTCCTCGTTCCAGGGCTGACTGCTCCTCCTTGGTGTCCTCTGTGCTTGCCTTTGTGTGTGCCCCCCAGAAGCACTTATCCGGAGTCTCCTGAAGGACCTGGGAAAGCAGCCTGTGGAGGGTCTGAGCCCCCTGGGCCTCGGCGAGATGGCCCACGTGATTGCTACCGCCGTGCAGGGTGTGGGTGCAGAAGGGGAGCTTCAAGGAGCCGCAGGAAAGCCCAGAGAGGCCAACGCTGGCAAGCAGGGCGGAGACGGCATGGCAGGTGAGCCTCCCAGCCCCGGGGTCACGTACATGTGTGGGGCTCGTGGGGCGCGCTGAGGCTGCAGCTGTGCAGAGGCCTGGCTCAGCAGGCTGTTAAACATTCCTTCTGCTGAGGAGACGCGGATTTGTAGGAACAGTTTTTGTCTGTTTGAACTTTTGCCTCTAAAAGGCTTTCTTCACAGGCTAAGCCTACCAGAGCAATTATGTTGAAAGGCAAATTGCTCTTTGTGCTGAGGTTCGGAGTTAGAAAAAAACAGGCATGATAGAAAGTGTTTTTGTTTGGATTGTGCTAGTGAAGAGAGTCAAATATTTGAATAATACCGTGAAAAGGCTTCATTCGAATATCTGCTCGAGGCTCACATGCACCCTCTGAGGCGCTCCAAGGAGAGAGCAGAGATTCCCCCCTACCGCCCCAGTGTGTGTGTGTGTGTGTGTGTGTGTGCACGCATGTGCACACATGTTGTGCACACAAACACACACACACAGCAGCTTCCCTGATGAATGGCCTTATCTGTGCCTGATTGCTTCTCAGAGTCGCTGCAACTGCATGAAAGCATCTAATTCAGTGCCTTGCACACAGTAGGCACACAAAAATTATGTGCCCAAAACACAAGTGAGAAGATGCATGGGCTGGGAACCGAGGCTTGCTTGGAAGCCGGAAGCAGGGCGGGATGTAGAAGAGGGTACCAGAGCCCAGCAGGACAAGGTTTTGTGTTGGGCCATCAGTGAATGAAAAGATGGGTGCCTCCCTGAGGGTGAGGGGGGGTCTAGAAGGTGCCTGGGCATTTGGGCTTCATGAGTACAGGAGTTCTGCACTGTTGGGCGCTGCCACTAGGATAATTAGAAAGGTAGTGAACTCTGAGGACATCTGACCTTGAGGTGGTTTGGTGGAGACGCCTGCCTTTGTTTTTCTGTCGCTAGTAACTGCTGTCGGCACCGTGGGTTTATCTTGCTGTGAGCTATAACTCTAAGCACAGCACACGGATCCCTGGGGCTGGTGATGCCGTTCATGACTGAACTCACATTTGTCTTTAGTGGGGACACCCTTCCTCTTCCATGACATTTACAGAACACTAATAATGTACTATAAACAAAAAGGTTTACTTTTTAGAAGAAACTAGGCGGACATCATCCTGACTGTCTGACCTTCCGTCAAGGACTCTCTGGTGTTTTGGGTACTGCAGCACCTATGATGAGGGTCTCAACAAGGGTTCTGATAATGCTTGTGTCTTTCACAGATGACCGAGGGCCAGACGGTGAAGGTGGCGTTTACAAGGAGGTACGGAGAGGCGTCTCTGCAGGTTTGGTTCCCCTTAGATCTAGAGCTGTACCGGTCAATTTTCTGTTCATGGTTTGGGAACAGACAAAATACAAAGGTTTGTTGGCTTGTTTTTTCAGAAAAGTTTGGAAAAACTCTAATAATCCCCAAATTGGGAAAAAGTATAAAGAGAGCATAAAAAATGGTGTATATTTAGATATATACTAATGTCTACTTTCAGATTATATAGTAATATTTACCCATTGTAGAAATATGGAAAATGTGGTTAATGCAAATTAAAAAATTAATATTCCTTAGAATTTTCCTACCTGGGGATATGGACTGGTGTATGTCCTTGAGATCATCCTGTGTGTGATTCCCGAGTTTCATTTAGCACGGACCTTCACAGGCCCTGGGTCATTTAGACCTGTACTGTCTGATGTAGCCACTAGCCACATGTGGCTATTTAAATTTATATTCATTAAAATTAAGTAGATAAAAATTCAGTTCCTCAGTTGCACTAGCCACATTTCAAGTGTTCCTTTGTAATACGTGGGTTGGGTGGTACATTGGAGAACATCTCCATCATTGCTGGAGGGTCTGTTGGACAGCGCTGGACGGGAAGGCAGTGTGAAAAAGGGCTCGGTCACAGGTAACACCCCTCACGGACTGGTTTGTTGGCTTTTCCTGTTTAAGAACCTTTGCTCATTAGTATAGGTCTTAAGGATGCAGAAAATCAGTGCGTAAGCAATGACAGTGGCATTATGTGGTTCTACAAAACCCTGTTTTTGTGGAGTGGAAAAAAGTTTTTTTGGTTAGTACTTCTCTTTCCAGATTATCTTAGTGGTTTTTGGTTCAATGGCTATTAGCAAGTAGCAAAAGAAAACATCAACAATTCTCTTAATTGTCCATCAGAAATTGGGGGGTACTCTGTCTCAGCTGAGGAGGGAGACGTGGCCCTAAGAACACGTCTTGGAAAGTGGAGGGACGCCAACAGCCAGAGCCAGGGCTGTGGGGCCTCCAGGGGGCACACACTCCAACCCACGTGGGTTCGCTGAAGACCCGCAGGGCTCCCATACTCCCACCTTTCCATCCTAAACAAGTTGAATTTTGATTCATTTCTCTGTTACTTGGGGTACATTTTCAAACAATTTTTTCTTTTTTTTTTTTTAAGATCTTATTTATTTATTTGAGAGAGAGACAGAGAGCACAGAGGGAGTGGGAGAGGGAGAAGCAGGCCTCCCCCTGAGCGGGGAGCCCAACACGGGGCTCGGTCCCAGGACCCTGGGATCATGACCTGAGCCGAAGGCAGACGCTTCACGACTGAGCCACCCAGGCGCCCCTCAAGCAATTATTTCCAAAAGGCATCTGAGTGTTGTATTTTCTGAGCTCTTAATTGTTAACATCTTTTGTTTCCTCCTCTCATGGAGCACAATTCAAGTGAAAACACCATTCTCTTTCTTTTAAAAGCCTGAGGACAGGGCTCCATCTGTACGTGGTAACTGAAATGCTATGTACTGTCACCATTCGGAATCCAAATTTGAGCACATGTTTTTATCAAAATACCATTTTCTTTAAATATTTCAAAACACACAAGGAAAAATTATGTACAATTTCTAGTCAACAAGGGAATAATTACTTTCCTTTACAGTCCTTCCTTAGTTTCCTATAAATCTTGTGTTTGATACACGTGAAGTAAATCCACTTTTTGTCTTGCCATCTAGTCTAATATTGGAGATGTAATTTCATGGTGAAACGGGAAATCCCTTGCTCTTGCGCGTCAGGAGGTGCCCCCCCCCCCTTCTTGGGCACCAGCAGCAAGCAGGGGGAGGGACCAGCGGCTTCCCTTGGAGGCAATGCTGGGGTCCCCAGAGGCGGTGTGGCAGCCTCTCTGGCATCAGCGGGAACAGCACTCGAATTCTGGATCTGCCATCAGTGATCTCAGGCACGTTATTAACCTCTGTAAGCCCCAGAGCCTACAGACTAGAGATAAAACTGGGACTGCACTCCCGGGTTGAGGTGGCAATTAAGTGAGAGCGCGCGCAGAGCACTGAGCACAGTGCCTGGCAGATAATCAGTGCTGAGTGTGTAAGATAATGTTCATCTGTCGAGATGTCAATTAAGTAGCTCTGAGGGCCCTCTTGTCCAGGAAACGGGGTCAGGATGGGCAAGCCTTGGCTATGAAGACCCCAGATCCCCTAGGTGCTGTGGGGCTGCAGGTGCATGTCCCCGTGACTGCTCACTCCCGGCCTCTCCACGTCCCTGAGGGACTGGGGGCAGGGTGAGAGCTCCTGACTCACAGGGCGCCGTGAGGACACCGAGAGTCCGTGCAGCTCGGGCGTCTGCTACAGAGTGCCCTCAGGCCCTGTCAGAGCTGAGTAAATGCAAGTGGGACGGTTATCGTCAGGCACTCGTTGTTTCTGGAGGGGTCTTAGAATCCACATAGGCGGTTTTTGCTTTTGTTTTTGTTTTGTTTGTTTGTTTTTAAAGATTTTATTTATTTGAAAGAGAGTGCACGTGCAAGGAGGGGGGCGGGGTAGAGGAGGAGGGAGAGACTCTGAAGCGGACTCCCCACTGAGGGCAGAGCCCGCCGCAGGGCTCCATCTCACGACCCTGAGATCATGGCCTGAGCCAGAATCAACAGTCGGGCGCTCAACCGACTGAGCCCCCCAGGCACCCCCCACATGGGCTCTTTTTAAAAATATAGATGGGAAACACCTACCCTGAGTTTATAAAATCAGATTCTTCAGGAAGTTGTGTGTGTATGAGACAGAGACAGAGACGTGCTTGGCTGAGTGATGCTGATGTGTGAGGCCCTCGTCCTCGGATGGACATGTCCCATCCAGATGGGATTCTGAATGTGGCCATGAGAGCACCAGCCCACCCCCGCCGGGGGCTGCCCACCGACTGCTCCCGAACGTCACCTCACTGAGCCTCTTTTCTGCCAGGTCAGTCGTTTGAGCCTCCAACTTGGGGACCACCTGCAGGATCCTGGGTCCCGACTCTTTCCTGCCACCCCCCTTCTTATGGAGCCCTTCAAAACGGAGATGAAGAAATCAGAGACGCCCAGGCTGCCCCCGGCTTGGGAGGAGGAGAGCGCTGGGGTGGAGGACGTGAGGAGTCAGACCTACTCCAAGGAGCGCCTGCAGAGGCTACCTCCCACAGAGCCCAGGGCGGGCGGCTTTGGCAAGCTCCAGACCTGGGTTCCGGGCCCCTCGCAGGAAGATGCCCGCCTTGGAGCCGGAGCCCAGGGGCGCCCTGCTGAAGGCCTGCGGCTGGAGGTCAGGCCTTCCGAGGAGGAGCAAGGCTACATTGTGACTGGAGATGAGTAAGTAGAGCCTCTGGTTTTTCTCTGCTGGTGCCTGTTGGGTGGGTGGAGGGGGGCCACTTTCATTCTTGCCTGTCTTACCCCGGAGACACAGGAGGAGGTGTTCCTGGCGTTGTGGGGGCAGGAGGGCAGCTGGGAGCCAGCCCATCTGTCACCAGTGCTGTGACCTAGGAGCCCGAGCTCCAGGGGGATTCTCCACAGAACAAACGCCTCCTGGCTCTTGGTCCCAGCCTTGCACCTCCGGCCCAGACCGCGGAGTGCGTGGACGCAGAGGCCCCCGGGGCGCGGGAGACTGGGCTCTGCGTCTGTGCTGCCTCCCTGCCTCCTGGGGCTCCAGCGGTTTTGTCTGCCTCACAGCAAAGCAGTCCAGGTATCGGGACTGAGTCCTCCTTCAGAGGGGAGACGTGCGCATGGTAACAGGATGCTCCTTCTTCTCTTCTCTCTCATCTGCATGTATCTCGAGGGGCCTCATTCCCACAGTGTGTACCCAGCAAGGGACACGTGGTCAGCCCCATTTTCAGGTCATCACCCTAATGACTCTGGCTTTTGACACCACGCTCTGTAAAAATGTCACGGTTTCCTCAAGGAATGGAACAGTGTTTCAAAGGGGAAAGCGTATATGGCTGTGCACATGCGTGTGCATGTGTGTGTGTGTGTGTGTGTGTGTGTGGGCAGATGTGTGCAGACATGCCTGTGTAGGCTTCTGCCGTTGCATTATAGTGTTCATTGTCCAGGCAGTTCTTCATCAGTGGCTTGGAAGTTGCCCACGTTCCAGGGATGGCGTGCGGGGTGGGAAAGGCCGCTCCATTCCTCGTGCTGCGTCCGCACGCCGTCTTTCTGCGCTCGCGCCTCCCGCAGATTCACTCCCTCGGCATGGGGTGTCGTCGTTACGTGGCAGATAGCATCAGGCACAGCTATATAGCACCACGATGGGGTGGAAAATATTTAATTGTGAGCTCAGACCGCTATCAAAGCCGGCTTTAGATGTAAGACTGTTGAGCTGTCGATGGTGTTTTTAGAGAAGTCCTCAGCAGCTGACACTTCAAGCCCACACCAAAATACTGACTCCATTTTCTCAAGTACTTTTTATTGAGACGTGTCCTCCCATTTCTGACCTCTTTGCCTGGATGGTGAGCTCCATGTATTCATGTCTGTTGTCAGGCTCCTTTTCTTAGAACGGGAACTCCCAGTGGGTGTGTGTCTTTAGAATCGCGCCTTACAGGGAAGCACGAATGGTACTTGAACAGTACGCCCTGCTGAGGGCTCAGCTCACACCTTTGAAGCAAAGGCAAGACACCTCCTCAGTTCCCTTGTGGAGCAAACCGTTCTGACAACCGTTCCTTATTCTCAATTGTCCAAAGCCCTTTTGTGGATTTTTCCCTCCCTTGGGAAACATTGCTGTGTTGTGTGTGCATGTGTGTTTATGTCTCTGTGTGTGGTGTGTATGTGTTGTGTGCGTGTGTGTTGTCTATTCATCCGTGTGTATCTGTGTTGTGTGTGTATGCTGTCTGTATTCATCTGTGTATCTGTGTGCGTGTGCGCGCGTGTGTTGTCTGTATTCATCTGTGTGTTGTGCATGTGTGCACGTGTGTGCGGTGTCTATATTCATCTGTGTGTTGTGTGTGTGTACACGTGTGTGTTGTCTGTATTCATCTGTGTTGTGCACGTGTGCACGTGTGTGTTGTCTGTATTCATCTGTGTGTTGCGTGCGTGTGCCCCTAGTGTGTTGTCTGTATTCATCTGGCGTGTTGTGTGCATGCGTGCGGTGTCTGTATTCATCTGTGTATCTGTGTGTGTGTGCGCGTGTGTGTTGTCTGTATTCATCTGTGTTGTGAGCATGTGCACGTGTGTGCTGTCTGTATTCATCTGTGTGTTTTGCGCGTGTGTGCGGTGTCTGTATTCATCTGTGTGTTGTGCGCGTGTGTGCGGTGTCTGTATTCATCTGTGTGTTGTGCACGTGTGCACGTGTGTGCGGTGTCTGTATTCATCTGTGTGTTGTGTGCATGTGTGCAGTGTCTGTATTCATCTATGTATCTGTGTGCGTGTGCACGTGTGTGCAGTGTCTGTATTCATCTGTGTGCATCTGTGTTGTGTGTGTGTGCGGGATGGACCCTCCAAGAATGGCTCAAGGTCAGGATGGCTGTCCCTTTCCTCCAAGAGTGATTTTAGAGGTGTTTTGAGTTCAGAAGAGCTAGCATACGGAAGGTGAATTTGCAGCCAAGGGAGACGTTTGTCTCAGCAAAGGAGAACCTGCGTTGTACGTCTGATCGAGAAACGCGTAAGAGCACGTGGCTCTCCGGGTGTGCCTCTCTTCTAGACACCCTCGTGTTTGGGGTGTAGTCCTGTGGAAGGACATCTGAGTGACCAGACTGGCTTTGGAGAGGCGGGCTCCTGTGGAGGCTGAGCTCTGGGCAGGAGACAGTGACGCCACTGTCCTCACGGGCCGCAGGCAGCTTGTGCGTGGATCATCGAGAGCCCCGCCGTCCTGCACGGAAGCCTGCTGCTCTGGCAAAGCTTCAGTCCCCATTTGCTCTTCAGCCTGGAGGGGTGAGGATGGGCCGCGGGGCCGGCTGTCGGGGGCGGGGGGCTGCTGGGAAGAGCGGTTGATTCACGGAGAGCAGCCCTGGGGCAGAGCAGGTCCGTCATTCTAGATGACGTCAGCCGGGAGCCATGAACAGAGAGCCATGGAGTAACGGAACATGAGTGGAGGGAGAAGGTTACAGGGCTGGAGCAGGGAGACCTGGGGCCAGGGTGGTGGAGGAAAGTGCCGGAAGGGTAGCGGGCCTCTGACGCCCGTCAGTGTTCTGAAACGGACAGGTTGGTCCTAAGTTTTCTCCAGTGTTTTCTTCCATAAAACTCTTGCCTGGGACACGCCCACCAGCAATGTCACAGACGATTTTCTACTGACTGACATGTCTGCTGCGTCATGGGCAGCTCGGTGTGGCTGCCACTCCCAGCGGCTCGGCCCTGATGGGGACTCAGCCTGATGCCTGTTAAGGAGACGCCACCGAGACGGCAGACATGTTCTACCATCTGTTCACCGGCGAGCCGGAAGGGTCTTGGGAATCCAGGTCTGGAAGAAGGTTCAGCGGTCAGTCCTCTGAGTGTGTGCCAGCTCCCAGAGGTTCGGGCATGAGCCAGAGGAGGCCTCGTGCGTGGGCAGACGACCTGCTCCCCTTCCTGTCAGACACGTCTTTCTAAATCATTTCTCTAAATTGAGAATCAGGTTCCTTTTAGAGCTGTCCCAGGAGGAGATTGCTTTTCCCATCACAGACTTGAAGATGTGAAAACCCATGTGCTCAGGGGGGACATGCTGTCCCCCCTGAGGTCAGTGTGGTGGGAGGGGAAGGGTCATAGCTGAGCCCCGGGGGGCAGAGTCCAGTCGTCCTCCCCCCGCCTGTGCAGAGACCCCTGGCTGCCCGCGGAGCCCCTCAGAGCTGCACCAGGGCCATGGGGCCCGTGGTGGTTGCAGGGAAGGCAGACGAGGACGTGGGGAGCGGGGTGGACCAGCGCCATGGCCTGTTTTCCCTTCTTTGGTAGAGAAAAGAAATCTTCACGGACTTGTGGACAGATTCTGTAGTTGTAGTGTCTGCAGGTTTGGTTTATTCTGTTCTACTCTCAGACCACGTCTCAGATGATATGTTCGAACTTTTTGTTCAGAAAGTACAGCTTCTAGGGGTCTTTCCTGAACGTGACAAGTTCACTGTTGTGTCTCCACTCATCTCCTTCATTTGTGTCAAGAGACCATGTGCAGGGTGATGGATTCATTGTCATCTGAGATTTTAGGTATGGGGGCGTATAGCCAATGAGTAAAAATAGTCACATTGGCTCGTATGCTCAACAGCAAGAAGAACAACCACACATTTCCAAATCTAAAATCCTTGACTGCAGAGTTGGTAGTTGTGGGGGATGTCTGTGACAAGAATGGTGAGCAGTGGTCTCTGAGCCCCGGGTTGCGGCCCAGCGCTGGCCTGTCCGTAGGCACCCCTGCCTGGGGCATCAGCACGTACCTACTGGGCCCCTGCAATGTGGGGGCCAGCAGAGGTCCCCAAAGAAGGAAGGGGATTCAAAACAAGCCCAGTGCGGTTCTCCCTTACGGAGTCAGACACTCTCAGTTTGACTTACGGGCTGTTCTGGAGTTCAGATGAGGAGAGCATAAAAAGCTTCACGGTGAGACTTTATCCAGAGAATGCAAACAGCTTTAGCTGAGTGGGCCCCCAAGCCCGTGAGTTAAAGAATCTCAGAACCTGTACCAAAACTTGAGCTAGGCTTTCCTATAAACTTCTCACCCTGACCCCCGCTCATTGCCGCCTCCTGTCAGCCACAGAATCCCATCTGCCAAACTCAGCCCCTCCTGGCCGTCTGCCCTCCCTCTCTCCTCCCCTCTGCCTGGCACTTCCTGGAGCCAGCACCCTTCCCCGTCCACCGGCCACAGCAGCTATCTGAGGCCGCTCCATTCTCCCAGAACCTTCCCAGCTTTCTCGTCCTTGAGGATGCTGCCCTTCCCGTGCTCCGGGGAGTACCTCCATGCCGCCCCTCCTCGTGGGCGTGGGAAAGAAGCCTGAAGCTCTGCATGGTGGCGCAGTCAGCACCTCCCGGCGCCATGCCTCCTCCTCCAGGGCTCATGCCTGGGGCGGCACCGGCACCAGCACCCTTCCCCGCCTCCTCCCAAACGGTGAGGATCTCCCGACCTGGCCACTCCTCACCCCCGTGCCCCCCCTGCTCTTGGCGGTCGGCTGCTCTCGCGCTGGTAGCTGCAGGGACCTCTTTCTTATTGCTGGTCCTGCATCCCCCGCCTTTCCCCAGTCTGTCACGCACGTTGACCCCCAGCAGGATCCTCCATCACCTAAACCTGACTGTGCCCCTCTTTCCTCTTCAGACTGCGGTGCTTCCACTGCCCTCGAGGTAGAGGCCCAAGCCCTGCGGGCTCTGCAGACTCATCCTGTCCCTGCTCCCGCACCACGGTGCTCTGCCACGCCCCCCGCCATCCTGCTCCGGGA